GTACACGAAATGCCCATGCTCGATTGGCGCGTAAAGAAGTTTGGCGTCGATGTACGAGATTGGTCAGGAGCGATGGTCGCCGACACATCACTCGATACCCTGATCAATGTGTACAACTTCTCCAAATCTGCATGGGAGCCGCTGATCGAGCCCTGGAGTGTCGGGTTCCACATGGCCAAGAACCAGAATCCTGACAAGCTGACCGTCGATATCTACTCCCGCAAGTCCATGGAGCTCACAGTGACAGCCGCCACGATTGCACTGGGCTCCAAGTCATTCGACTTCCTCACGAGCGAAGATGACATTCTATCGAAACCGCGGGGTAGTGATGCTCCGTACCGCGTGCGCAATTACACAGGCTTTAGTCTCGATGTCTGGGCCGACGGCAAGGAGCAAGAAGGTTTTGCAGCTAAGCTTGAAGACGGAGAAGAGCAGCCTTGGCGATTTGAAGACCCCATGTCGACAAGAGAGTCGCTTTCCACAGACGGCGCAACAGGCATGCTTGGTATTAAGCTGCAGGGGAGTGGCTTCGACACTCTCACTCGCGTACCCGTTCATCGGGAGGGCGAGTTCCTATACAACCTAAAGCCCAAGCAAGATCGCATTCAACACCGTCTGTTGATTGATGTAAAACTTGGTGCCGACAACGTCAAGAACATCACTATTCGCTCCCCAATGTTAGTGGAGAACAACACGCAGATTCCGATCGAGCTCGGCATGTACAGCCCAGAAGATGGCCATCTCCTCAAGATCGACAAGATCGCCCCTGGAGATGCTCGACCAGCACCTGTGGGCGCCTGCTATATGCACTCCATCGTCATCCGTCCAGACCAAGGCTTCGGCTATGCCTGGTCCAATGAGCGCTTGTTCTGGAAAGACTTGCTCAAGCGTCCCACGAGGACGATTACCTGCCGTGGCGAACAAGACGACCAGTCTCCACCGTTCTACTTCCAGCTACATGCGGCCTACGACAAGAAAGACCCCTTGACCGGTGTGTACCCTTACATGCGACTTCGCCTCCAAGCACCCGTCGAAGTTCACAATCTCCTTCCATATGACTTCAAGTATAGAATTTATGACAGCAACACGAAGAAAGATTGGACAAACTTCCTTAGGAAGGGTGGCATCAGCCCGGTGCATGTCGTGGAGCTCTCGCATCTTCTTCTCATTAGCGTAGAGATGCAGGACGGGCCCTTCAAGCCAAGCAAGTTTGGCATCATCAACTCCACCGATCGCGAGAGCTTTAGGAGGGAGAAAACCTTGGAGGTCAAAGACAACAATGACACGACTCTGCATCTTAACATGCATTTCTTGTACGTACATTACCCTACGATCTCAACTCAAAAGTGCTGACAATCCTTAGCAACTTCCCTGATGGCGGTGGCGCCTTCAAGGTAGCAATCTACAGTCCCTACATCGTTCTCAACCGCACCGGCCTTCAACTCGATGTCCGCGCTCAGCAGCTCATGGGCCAAGCCAGGGCTGCTGCCGGACAAGGTGTCGTCTCGGATAACCAAAACGATGCCGGCAAGGCTTTGCCGTTTATGTTCTCCTACCCATCGGACAATAAGAAGAACCGAGCTCTTATCAAAGTCGGCGATTCTAACTGGAGCAAGCCTCAGAGTTTCGATGCGATCGGTAGCTCATACACAGTAGCGTTGCCTTCAAACAAGGCACGCTCCGACATGCACTTGGGTGTCTCAGTTTCGGAGGGTGAAGGCAAATACAACTTGACCAAGAGCGTTTCCATTGCGCCACGCTTCATTGTCAACAACAAGATGAAGGAAGAGTTACTCATCCGTGAGCCTGGTCAATCTGACTGGATGACGGTGAAAGACGGAGAGCTTTTCCCTCTTCGCTGGCTACGACAAGGCGGAGCGCCGCAACTGTCTCTCTGCTACCCTGGTGTTAACAACCAATGGTCTTCTCCATTCAACATCTCCAACGTTGGAAATGTTCACGTCAAGCTCTCCAAGGCTGGACAGCGCCAGAAGCTTGTTCGTGTGGACATCCTGATGGAAGCAGCAACAATCTTCATTCACGTCAGCGTTGAGAACAAGCATTGGCCATTCTCGTTCAAGAACATGAGCGACCAGGAGTTCCTGTACTGGCAAGCCAACCCGAATTTGGATGAGGACGAGGATGACCGCGGTTCTGGCTTCAGACCAATTAGATACCGCCTACCTCCTAGGAGCATCATGCCATATGCATGGGATTTCCCGGCTGCAAAGAACAAGGAAATCGTCATTAGCGCTAACGGAAGGGAGCGTCACGTCAAGCTTGCCGAGATTGGACCTCTCATTCCATTCAAGATACCACCTGGCCAAGAACGAGGCGGCATGAAGGTTATTGACCTGAACGTCGTTGCAGCAGGTCCCACACAAACTCTCGAGGTATCGAACTACAAGCCATCTAAGAGTATGTACAAGCAAAAGTCTGCTGGCACGTCTTCCTCCGCTACTGGATTTGAAGTCAAGGACATGGACACCGACGTCACTTTCAAGGCGCAGCTACGACTTGCTGGTATCGGTATATCACTAGTCAATCGTCATCTGAAGGAGTTAGTGTACGTCACACTACGCGACATCGAGCTGAAGTACTCCGACTCGCCGCTCTACCAGATGGTCAACATGCAAGTCAAGTGGATCCAAGTCGACAACCAACTCTACGGTGGCATCTTCCCCATCATCTTCTACCCCAGTGTCGTTCCAAAGACAGGCAAGGAGATGGAGGCACATCCCATCTTCCAGACAACAATCACCAAGGTCAAGGACGATTCGTATGGTGTACTTTACATCAAGTACTTCACGTTCCTCCTCCAGCAAATGACCATCGAAATTGATGAGGACTTCATCTTCGCTATGATCGACTTTGCGAACATACCTGGCGCTTCCTGGTCCGAGGAGAAGCAGGGCAAGCTGTGGGATGACAACCTCAGCATACCAGAGCCAAAACAAGAGCAATCTGGTCAGGATGTCTACTTTGAGCTGCTCCATCTGCAGCCCATGCAGATTGATTTGTCATTCGTTCGAACAGAACGCATCAATGCCGAGGACACCATGAGCACTTCCAACCCATTTATGTTCGCTGTCAACGTACTCACCATGTCGATCGGCAATGTCAACGATGCGCCGGTGCGATACAACTCCTTGATGTTGGAGAATGCCCGCATCTCCACCACTGCATTGATCAACAACATCAAGAATCATTACGTTCAAGAATCTTTGCGACAAGTGCACGTCATCATCGGATCCGCTGACTTCCTTGGCAACCCAGTCGGTCTATTCAACAACATCAGCTCTGGTGTCGCTGACATTTTCTACGAGCCGTACCAAGGACTTGTCAAATCGGATCGTCCAGAGGATCTCGGTATCGGTATCGCAAAGGGTGCATCAAGCTTCGTCAAGAAGTCCGTCTTCGGATTCTCGGACAGTATGGCCAAGTTCACTGGCAGCATGTCAAAGGGACTTTCTGCAGCAACATTGGACAAGGAGTTCCAGGACCAGCGTCGCATGTCGCGATCTCGTAACAGGCCTAAGCATGCCCTCTACGGCATAACATCTGGTGGAAATGCCTTTGCTAGCAGTCTTGCCAGCGGTCTTGGTGGTCTTGCTCGCCATCCTATCCAAGGAGCGGAGAAGGAAGGTGCTCTCGGTTTCGTCAAAGGAGTCGGCAAAGGACTGCTGGGCGTACCTACCAAGGCCGCTATTGGCGCCTTCGACCTTGCTTCCAACATGGCAGAAGGCGTCCGCAACACAACCACCGTCTTCGACCAAGAAGGCCTCGATCGCGTTCGTCTCACCCGTTTCATTGGCACCGACGGCATCGTCCGGCCCTACTCCCAACGCGAAGCTCTTGGTCAGTTCTGGCTCAAGACACTCGACAACGGCAAGTACTTCAACGAAGACTACATTGCGCATCTTGAACTCCAGAACAAGGAGATGCTCGTCATGCTCACGTATAATGGCCTTATGATGGTGCGGACGAAGAAGCTGCAGACAGAATGGGACGTACCACTCAAAGACGTGCAGACGATTAGTAAAGAGAGGACGGGGCTGGGGATCACGCTCAAGGGAGGGACGAATGGACCGTTTATCCCTGTGAGTGATGAGGGAAGTCGGAATTGGTTTTATCGACAGGTTGCTGTAGGGGTCAATGCTTATAATGATCGGTGGAATGCGAAGGGTTGATTGGGATGAATGAAAGGTTGGGAGTGGAGGTGTTTTCCAAGATGTTTGACAGGAAGAGACGCGGAGTAGAAGCGTTCCTTCAATGAGGCATATGAGTACATGGCATAGCGTGGGTTCAGAATGGGCTTTCTGTTTCGATTCGGCGACCTATAATGTTTACTCTTTCTATGATGAGCTTGATGAGCTTGATGAATGAGATATTCTTTTCTACAATAATGTCGTCTGATGGTGATGGGTGCGGGTCCGCTCTGGGAACCTTCAACGTGGCCATTCTGAGCATATGGCAGCATCATCATGTGCGGAATCGATTCATGAACCTTCCTGCAATGTAATTACAAGGCCGCCTAGCTTTATCGAGATGCAACGATGGTTTGCGTCATCTAGTGCCGTGTCCACGGTGTTGACTTATCATTATCGCCGGGCTAGAGCGAGACTGCGCCGAGCTATGTTCGAGTCGATGCGATCGCATGTAAAGACCCACCACGCAAAGGCACATTTTGTCTCATTGTGACAGACTCGTCGCAAGTATTTACGGGTCACGGCACCGTTGAGATCCACATGCGACCGTGATGCCGAAGCATGGCCGGCGATATGATGTAAACAGCGTGACGTCACACTGGCGTCGCGCGTCAACTTGCGGGGGAAAGCTTAAGCTTGCAGCAGTAATCGCAGTTGGAGAGCGCTATCTTGCTCATTTCCTCATTACTTCTCCTCCATATACCCTGCTCCTTGTCCTGTGTACATTACAACTTTGCTTCTGCATCTCTCTTGCTTTTCATACCCCATATTGCCTCCCTTCGATAATCTAATATGCTTCGCAACGGTGCATCGCGCCTCGCGCTGAGATCGGTAGCCGCGCCCAAGTCGGCACGACCGGCTGCAAGTTTCACCTGCACAACACCTCAACTACAATGGGCAACACAATTCGGTTCTTTGGCTGCGAGGAGACCACAATTAGCGCAGGCGACTGCGGTACAGCTGAAGCCGGCCTCTGCAATCTTGCGCCGAAGCCTTGCTGATAAGACATTGACGGAAGGGCAAAAGCAGGCGGAAAGCAGATATGCACATGAGAAGATTAAGCCCACCCCAGAGACCGTGTCTAGCACCAGTTCCACACATCCCATGTTCTCCGAAGTTGGGGCAGAACAACCACAAAATGAGGTGGACATGATGGCGGGCGTGAAGCACGATGTGGTATGCACACGATACTCTCCACGGTCTTTCTGAACCCGGCATGCTAACATACAGCAGCACGCCATCAAGGACACATTTTCCCTTGCTAATGTCCCACGAGAAGCATACTACATGGGCCTTGCCGGCACACTTCCCTACCTTGCAACCTCCATCTCCACCGTCTACCTATCCTGGGAACTCAACCACAGCGTCGCTGGCTATGGCATGATTTTCTCTGAGAAGAACGCCGCGTATCTCCTCACTCTCATTGAGCCCCTGCAAATCGGATACGGAGCATCCATCCTGAGTTTCCTCGGCGCTATTCATTGGGGGCTTGAATGGGCTGGCTACGGCGGCTACCAGGGATACAAGCGTTATGCTATTGGTGTTGTGGCACCCATGGTAGCTTGGTCGACATTGCTCATGCCGGTCGAGGGCGCGCTGATTTCGCAGTTCTTGGGCTTCGTTGCGTTGTACTACGTTGATACTCGTAAGTCTAGATCTGTTTCTCTTGTCCCTGAAGCTGTACTGATACCGAACATAGGCGCAACATACCGTGGCTGGACACCCAACTGGTACGCTGTGTACCGCTTTGTCCTTACCATGATCGTCGGTGCTAGTATTGTCCTTACCCTTATCGGCCGCAGCGAGCTTCCCGAGCACATTCCTGGATCTGTTGATAGGGCCAAGGTCTTCAAGGAGGATGGCTCATCTGAGGAGAGGCTGGCTGAGCACGAAGAGGCGGCTGCGGAGAAGAAGAAGCACGCTGCGCGCAGCGACAACAGGGGTGAGAAATAAGCAGGAAGAAGAGCTCGGCTGAGGCGATGAACATCTCTTTTGTCTGCAAAGGCGTTCCTGGCGAGGAGGCCATGATTGTGTTTTCATCGTGTATATAATTCAGAGTACCCTGCTATGGCGTGTCATATCTTGAAACAAAGTTACTCAATTGCCTGTCTTGCCTGCTAGTGTTATTAATTGACAATGCGAATCTTGCGCATGTGAGAGTGGTCCACCGACGCGACTCGCGCGCCCCAATGGCAACTGTGGCACCTCCGCCCTTGGCTCCGCACTTTGCGCACATGCTCCCATCGTCATCGCTCACAAGCTGGCCACATCCCACCAGTCCAATACCTTATCACCTCGGCCACTTTACCTACCATGCTATGAACATTACCAGTCGCATCAACTCTCTCACTCTGCTTCTTCTTCTCTTTTCAACGCGATGATCTCCTCGGGCTTCACAAACGCGCCCGTGACACAATTCCTCGTCTTCGGCACCGTCATTGGCGCGCTACTGGCTACGATTACGGATTCGAGATATTATTTGCATATTCAAGTCGTGCCGCATATTTGGCAGTATGGGCAGTTTTGGAGGTTTGCGGTTTGGCAGGTATGTGAGAGGCGGAAGAAGTATATGAGAAGAAGAAGAAGAAGAACCAGGCAGACGCTGACATGTTATTCAATAGCTGAGCTTCACAAATTCGACTGAAGTCCTCTTCGCAGTATTGACGTTTTACCAACTGCGTGTCGTGGAAAGGTTATGGGGGAGTAGGAAATTCGCTGTACGTTATCCCATCCACCATCTTCCTCTTCTCTCTCTACCACGTCCAACTAACATCTCGACAGTCCTTTCTCCTCTCAACTCTCCCCTACACGACCCTGCTTCCTCCTCTCCTTGTAACCTTCGTCCTCCGCCCGTTGACTTTCGGCGCAATAAACTACCTCCCCGCTGGTCCCACACCCATCCTCTTCGCCCTCCTCGCAAACTACTACGCTGCGATTCCATATACATACCGGTACAAGATCTCGCCGTGGTCCGCACCTACACCATCATCATCATCGACACAGTCGAATACCCAGTCCCTCTCAGCGCTCTGGTCACGCAGTCTAACGCTGACATCAAAATCACTATCCTACCTCCCTCCCCTCCAACTCGCGCTCAGCCAATTTCCGGGCAGCCTGGTCGCGGCAGCTGTGGGGTGGGGCGTGGGCACAGCGTATCGTAGGGATGTTCTGCCTGGAGCAAGCCGCTGGAGAGTTCCGGGGTGGATGGTTGGTGAGGAGAAGAAAGGGGGTTTCGAGGGGCTGAGAGCGAGGCTAGATGCTGAGAGGGAGAGGGAAGGTGGTGGAGCGGGGTTGGCGACGGGGATTCTGGCGGAAGACGGGCAGGCGAGGCAAAGGAGGACGTTGGGAGATATGGTTGCTGAGCAGTTTAGAGGGGATAGACGGGCGTAGATGGGGAACACACAAAGATGTATGGTTTACATGGAGGGTCTTTGTATATTAACAGCTTGGAATACATGTTGGCTTCACTTGTCATTGTGGGAACTTTTGGTTCAGGGAGATGTGACGGTATTAAGTGATGTCGACGTATTCGACTAGTGATACAGTTTTCTGCTATCCTGGCAGATGGATGTTTGATGCGACAAAAATCGCAGTCTCAAAATGAACCGCCCACGCTGTTAATAGGTAAAGATAGTTCGGACAAGCCGTCATGACCTCCTTGTCGGGTATAATCCTCCGCTCTCTGATAGAACGCCGGAAAAAAAGTTAGGAGGAAAGAATCAGGTCGTACAATCATTAGGAATTAACGGGAAAAACAATATAGGGAAAAGAAAAAAAAACACAAGGGAAAGGGCAACTACTCAAGAAGCACCTTAACTTCTCCGTGAAGAAGATCCAACACTACCCCTGGTCTTTCGTAGAAAGTCGTCTTCGCTTTCTTTGACATTGAACAAAAAGTCCTTTTCGACAGGATGACTATTCAAAGCTGTCAGCGGCGTAGTCTCGCCTGGCTTCCGTCGGGAACCGCTACTCCTCAGCGTATCGACGTAGGCATTTAGACCATTAGTTGTGCGGACGGTATTGCCAGTGTCAATAGGAGGCGGAAGGGGAGCAACCGATCTCGACCTAGAATGAGGTTTAGAAGGTCGCGGTGTCTGTTGATCCCGTTGGTCCTTTTGTTGTTGCTGCTGAGCCAGTGCTTGAGGTAGAGTCAGACGATCTAAACTGCGCCACCATCCGTCCCTGTCTTCGCGTGGATCTACAACCGAGGTTAGATCGGTTGTGGAGGCATTGGAGACGGGAGGAGGAGAGGAGTCAGAGGATATCATTTCCCACCCTGATGACATGAGGTCCGCGTTGGGGAGTGTATACATGGTGGATGGTCTGTCAGCATCGGTTGTTCGGCGGTGTGGTATGCGGCGTTGAAGGTGCTCGTCTGAATTTGTAGTACTCGCACGCTTGCTGGTGCTGCGTGAAGGGACTTGAGGGGAAGTCTCTTGCATGGACTGTTGGCGACCTGCAAAACTGGCAGAAGTGCTGGTGGTGTTTGGGACGTAACTTGATGACGGGCGGCGATCACTTGATTTCCTGCCTGACAAAGTCCTACGGGGGCGGTATAAACCTCGCAGACCGTCCGGTTGGCGTTCGTGAGATTGCGGGGCAACTGTATGCGGTCGAGCTGGGGAGATCTCTGCTGCGTCCATCAAAGACCGCGAGGGCGGCTGGTAACCTTGGCGATGAGGTACGGGGGTCCTAGAGGGGGTGGCAGACCTGTCGTCGGCGATGATTGTCGGAATCTCTTGTTGGTATGTAGTGGGAACCTGAGGAACTTCTGGAAGTGGAGAGGGAGACGCTTCGCGTAATGCTTTTAGAGAGACAGCAGACATACGCTCAGACAGGTCTCGAGCAGACTTCCGCCGCTCTTCGGTCAAGTCAAGAAACTTCTTTGACCGTTCTGAAGGCGTAAACGACCTTATCGATTCATGGCTCGGCTTGACTGACGGCGTGTCCTCTACCTGGCTGTAGTAATCCGAGTCGAAATGAGAAGTAGTAGGGCGTTCCTCGTCCACACTGTAGACGCTAGGCGGGTACTTTGCAGGAGTGTTAACGAGTGTGCTAGCGGGAGAATGGCTTTCTATCACCATGACGCGCTCTTTGAGCATCTTGAGTTCCTTGTCGAGTAAAGCCTTTTCCTCCTCCATCTTGATGATGCACTCGGCCGCTTCTGCAAGAGCAGTCTCGTGTTCTGTGAAATGCGCGGCAGTCTCACTTGCTATAGCGGTGAGCTCCACGTTGTTCATCCGCTGTTCTTCGTTGTCTTCTCGTAAGCTGGAGATTTCCTCACTCATCTTATCCAGTTTGAGTTTCAGTTGTTTGTTCTCCGCACGCAGCTCGTAGTTTTCATCCTCCAGTGGCTCGAGTCGCTCAACTTGCTCTTTCGCAGTCGTCAATTGATGTTGTAGCTCTTTATTGTCTTTCTTCAGCAGTTCCACCCGCATGTTGGAGGTCATTAACGACTCCTTTAGCTTTTGGATATCATTGGTGAGGTCGCGATTCGTCTTGGAGCGCGGCGTGCCAACATCGCTAGGTCTTCGTCGCCGGATGGGCGAAACGGGTGTTGTTTGCTCCTCGGTGAGGGCGAACTCGTCAAAGACATCGGGTGAGGTTTTGGGTGTATGTATATCCAAGGGCATCGACGTTGGTGGCGGTGGCGCCTTGACTTCCTGAGGCGAAGGCGTTGGTGTGTTCTGTGCCCTCCGTGCTTCCAGCGCATGTCGTAGGAAATCTGATTTTGGCGCAACAGAGTAAGTGCTCGATCGCGAAAGCGTAGGTTTCATCTGGTCTGGCGTCGACGGCCTATAGGCAGTTCCCCGCGCAGAACTGTGTGGTGACGAGATGCTCGACATATTGATGTAAGGTTCCGGACAAGAATTAGGCCCGGTAAAATTGCGCGTATGCGTTGTTCCTTTAAGTGAAGCAGTCGGTGGCAATACGTTGTGTATCGCGACTAGTGTGCACGAACAATGATCCCCCCCTAGTTTGACCGTTGGGCCGGGAGTAAGACAGGCGCCGTTGTGTAGTTGGTCGAGAAGGTTTAGGACGACGGCGGGGTATTATATGGCGTATGTGAGAGTTGTTGATGGGAAAGAGACTTGGGTGACGTAGCGTGCGAAGATGGGTGGATAGTCGCTCGAGAGCGGGTCGTTCTTGGGGTCCATTCGCGCTATAGCAGGGAAAATGCTACCATCAAAATCGCTGCGTGATCTGTCGCGTCCTGGGTTGTCGCGGTAAAAGGGAGATGAGCGGTGAAAGTAGTGAATTTCGCGTTGGAGGTAGCGGTGAATCGCGTCAATCCTGACTTGACAGCAGGCAGGCGATGCGGGCAGCGAATGTCTAGAAAGTGGTGGTATGAAGAGCAACTCTGGCGACGCGGAGCAGAGTCGAAAATGCCAGATGTCTAGGGGATGGCGACGAACAGTCGCGTCGGGCAGCAATTAGAGATGGACGGTTGAGGGAGGGCCAGAAGGGAAGACTTGACTCGAAGAGGACAAGCGAGAAGGGGCACAGCGGGAGCCCTGGCCGGCGCGACCCAGCACAGCGGTCTGCAGGTGCCGTCAAGGCTTCCTATTTGCTGTTTCCGGTACGTGGGTGGGGGTGCCCTAGGAAGCCCCTGGCGTCGAGGAGTGCGGTTCCCGGGATTGCTGCATGAGCCCTCATGTCGTCACAAGAAACATCACGAACGAGACAATCAGGAATGCGGGGGATAGGCTCACCATTGCCTTTGGGCGCGCTCTGCCTGTCCTTCGCCTCCAACAGGAACCACATCACATAGTGCGAACGCGTCTACGAACCCCAACGCAACGCCATGTGGCGCGTTCCCAGCCTATTTCGACTATGCTCAGTAGCGCTGCCTTCGCCGCAGGACAGTCCTGTCGCTCGTCGCTCGTCGCTCGTCGCCGAGGTGATTTGTGATGTGGCACGCGACTGTGTCCAGGCCTCCTAGTACCCATCATGTTTCTTAATTTCTGCAAGTCGTTCAACTTAGTCGACGTGTTTCTCGCGATAACGAGTCTTGCACAGAACTGGTCCTGCAACTCGGCCTTGTCCTTGTTGCGGCGTGCATACTTCAGCTGTCAAGCTCAGGCCTCAACCTTCGCTATGCCCAAGCATTCGGGCTTCTCTCTGACAAGGGATCGCCCGGCATAATGTCGGTACTAGTGCTGTCAGTTCGGCTGTTTTTATTTTGTGTTTAGTCCAAAGTCTGAAGTTTCGCAATGTGGCAAGTAGAAGAGGGGGTGTCTTGGTCGCTCCATGGAACCACGTCTGTCTGCTGTGCATGTGTGGGGCCCAAGAAAGAATTATTGTGTGTTGTATCATCAGATATTAAAAGTGTACAATGATGCCGGCGCCTGTGTGTGGGGTACCGTAAAAGCCTCTGCGTGTGTTGGAAATCACTCCATCTCAACAGCGACTCCAGCCTGTCGCAGCCGATCTTCCCACTCGATGCGCAGTTTCTCCATCTCCTCCCAGCACCTCCTCCCCTTCTCCGTGAAGCGCTCTTGGCTCTCCTTGGTCAGGTCTGTCGCGTATGGATCCCTTCCCTTTCTCTTGTATTCGCCCATCTTGCCTCCCCAACCCCATCCCGTCACTTCTGTGCGGTCCACACGTTCTCGGCCCCAAACATCGGTCGCGCTTCCCCACTTGCCCACGCCTTCCTTTGCCTCCATGTTGTCCAGCGTGCTCTGACTAGCAAGTGCCAACCAGACCATTGCCGTTGCGCCCTTCTCGACATCAATCGTATGCCAGTCGCTGCCAAGCAATCGCCCAATGTAGAAGGAGATGACCATGCACCATTGAAGGATGAGGGGGAGAGGTACGATCGAGGTAGCGCAGATGCCAGGGTGAGAAACGTATAGTCGCGGCTTCGTAGTCTTTTCCGAATCTTGGGCGTGATGGAGATATTCGTCAACAGGTTTTGTTGTTGAGGGCAGTGTAGAAGTAATGGCCAGGATATCGGTCAGCCTCTTGGTGCCCTCGTACGGCATGTCTGACAGAATGCCTTGCATGTCTTGCAGGTCGAATACATGGTCGTATGCTTCCAAGCTGCTGACCCAAATCATCCTCCCCCTTGTCTTCTCACTCTTGGGGTGTCTCGCCAACAAGGGTGCGAGGTAGTGACCAAGGAGGTAATGCCCAAAGACATTAGCACAGAAGACCTCGCCTAATGGAGGCTCTTCTTCCATCTTCTTGTCCGCAGGTATTTGCGGATTTTTTACTGTCCATCCAACGCCAGACATCTTGTATGTAGGCCAAGTGATGGCCGTTCTCCACTTGGTGAGGATTGCCCATATGGCACCGGGCCAATTGATGCCAGTCCATCCACCAATGCCAGCATTGCAGATGACTGCATCGAGCTTTGGTGTTGTTTCCCGGAGCTTCTTGCTCAGCTTCTGTACTGAGACCAGACTGAGAAGATCTAGTCTCTCCTGGCGGAAAGACACGCGATTCTGCAGCACCTGTGCGATGCCCGGTAGTTTTTGTTCATGGCTGCGGATGACTTTCCGAAGGTGCTGTTCTAGCTTCTCGATTGTCGCATCGCCCTTGCGTTGGTCGCGTGTGGTGATGATGAGGACGAGGGACTCGTTCTGGGGGCGAGTTTGCAGGAATTCGTCAATCAGGCGGGTTCCGATACCAAGTCCCAGACCACTATAGGCGGGTCAATTGAGCGTCGCGCAGGCGGACAGTGGGATTCACGAACCTGTTGGCTCCAGTAACCACGACATAAAAGCCATTGTCGGGTGTGGGCGTGTCTTCACGGTGAGGCATCGTCGCTGATGTGAGGGATGATTCGCCTATGCACAGCGTTCCTGGTTCCTGACTCCATTTCGGAAAGGAGCGCGCATTGACCAATCACGGCATACACGACTTTCTAGCACGATTTCTGGTTGGACAACTTATGCATATCTGTTTCTGTCGTCTGAACACGCTCTTCGATTATCGTCAACTACAGACCCAGAAGCATAATGTCTGAGGGCATGTTTGTTTCTCCTTCTGGCGCTTCGTGACGAGACTACCTACCACACCGCACCATTGAAACCCAATATGCGACTAAGTCGGTCTGAAGACCGCCTAAACGGACTTGACGTTCCGAATTCACTCCACCCTCTTTATAAACAAAACGCAACTGATCAACAGTAGTTCTAGTAGTTTCAGTAGTTCCAATAATTTACCGGTTAATGTCGACTCGAGGTCTCTTTTGGAAGTTCGGCGAACAAGGTTTGCACCGTGCGAACGCGCCAGATCAAGGACCTCGTTGCGAACCACGATGATCACGATGCACAGATAGTGTTGACTCAAAGAGGGTCGCGTCTTGAGAATCTAAACTTTGCGGTGGGGGTAAGTCGTTGGTGCGTAGTCTGCCTTCCCGTACCACGATCTCTACATCTACCTTGTTGCACTCTTGCGATCGATGTGCAAGTGTTCCAGGGTTGACCGTGTAACAACCACCAAGAGATCCACAGCATAGACCTGCGAGTATGTACAAAGAGTGCTAAGACTCTTGGTTTGTGATTCGCCTACTCGATGCTTAGAAAGCTCCGCAGATCGGGTGTCCACGGACCCGGCCAAGACGCGTCGTATGTCACCGCGTACGTAGACTTCTGGTGTCGTCAGCTGGAGACCTATCAAGCTCCAGATCAACATGTCCGCAAGGATGTGCTAATGAGACTGAAAACCCAGACACCAGCCGGCAAATTCTGTCGGAATGTCGCGGATATGGGATAGGGCATTGTAGAGGCTTCTCCTCATGCACACCAACCTTGCGTCAGCCCTACCGCAAGCTTCGCCGTTCTTGATTACTGTCGCCATCGGTGAATATGCCGAGACATGGCGGAGACGTGATCATCCGCCTCACAGCACGACGGTCTTTCTTACATGCGCCTCCGGCCAAACCTACGAGTCGTCCGTGACCAGGCCCTCCCTGACGCAGGGATGGGGTCGTGGGGTATGTTTGCGGTAAGACCAGGCGATTGACATCGGCAGGTACATCTTCACATCTGATAGAGTCCTGAGCCCCATGGCAGCCCAATGCGGTGAGGCTTACAGTGTTCCATAATCCCTCTCAGCAAACTCATGCCGTGGTGAACTGACAAATCGTGCCATGCTGACCAGTCTTCGAGCTATTGAATTTAGCGGTTGTGAGGTTATACAGTATACGATCAACCTCATACGGTACCAGTAGTATAGGGAAGCGGAGGTCAAAGCATGTCACCGAAGACGGCCCGCGGTCGCAGTACGTCACTGAGCATGTTTTCGGACTCGGCTTGCGTCGGATTCCAGATTGTGGTAGCAAAAGCGATGATTCAGATTAGCAAAAAGGGTGTTGTGAACAGAAGCCAAACTTGCAATCTAGACCCAATATACTTTGCGTTTGTTTGCTGCATAGCGAGCTATCTCCACGCCATGGACATGGTAACCGATGCTAAAGCTCCGAAGCGATCCACGACTAGCTCTGCGTCGTTATGCACGTCATACCTGTAGCCTTTACCTGCGTCTCAGATCGTACTAGGAAAAGGCCAGACTTTGTGCCGTACCGTGTCCGTAGTGGGGCGGAGAAGGCTCCGCTGTTTCCATAGCGGACAATCGCTCAACGCCTTTGCGGCCGCACTACATGTCGGTGTGAAGACTCCGAGCCGGCCAAGGATGAGCAGGATTTGTGTGTTCATTTACACCAAGACGTTTGCGGAATGTCCCGTTTGAGGAGTTCTCTTGGGTAAAGAAAGTTTGTCAAGGGGGTATGTCACTCAGATGCTGTTTCTCCCGCCGTTCCAAGCCCCTCCGTGTACCCCAATATCCACACATGAGATCCTGACCGGGCTGACGAGGTTGAGGTTGTGACCCAGCTCTTGGGAGATATGCAGCAGCGGGCTCGTCAAACATCGGGCCAAGTGTGGTGGACGTTTACATAAGACACAGTCGGGCCGTTGAACTTGGGACTTGCAGCATGCAAAAAGGCAAAAGCAGCTGACCTTGCGCTGTTTATCATTGCTGGTGACAGCCCGGGCCGTGCCGGATAGGCAACCAATTGCGGATCCTCAGGGCTCAGGCACCAGGCATGAAACATGATCCTCCTCGACTGCGTGTCACCTGTCAGGCTCGATGTAACAGTCGCAAGCCTCACTTCGCATTCCGCGTTACAGACAGAAGCTCAATACGAGGTAGGGGGTCGCGGAAGTGCCGGCGCAAGTTGCAAGTGCCGGCATACGGTAAATAGAGTCTCTCCGATTCGCCATTTGGCTAGGAGGTTCGCTCCGGCGCTTCCAGTAGTGGGCGAAGGAGAAAAAAGCCGTGATGCAGATATCAGAGACAAAAATACGATGGTGTTGTAATCAGAGGGTTATAGTATGGTACGATCGGCAAACCTAATTAAATATCTCATTCGTTCCGTATAATGTGCTGATCTTATTATGATTAGCCCATGCATCGTAAGCACCAGGAAGTGGCTTGCAAGGACGTTGCCGTAGGTTGACGACATACTTAGTGTGTTCGTGGAGATGGGATTCCGGGCCACTGACTGCTGCGCGCTTCAAAAAGCGCGCACCACTTTTGACTGGGGTGAGACGGCAGCAGATAACATGACCGCGCATGCTTGCGGAACTCGTACCATTCCAAGCTTTGTGGCACAAACATCAATGTTAGTACAGACCGTTATATCCACTCGGGCACATTTCTGCGCCAACTCACGACATCTGGATGCCGGAAGTTTATCCACGCGAATCGCTACGAGTCACATACCGTGCCCTGGTAGACCCACCTGGCGTCATTGCATCACGACTGGGTGCGTTACTGTCCGCCAACAGCCATTATCCCAAAATTGTAACGGAGCCCAACCCAGGCTTACCGGCCCTGACCCCATGCTAACTCAGAATTAGGTTTCTACTGAACGCGGGGCGGCGGGAGGTAGGTTTACAAGGCTGGAATCACCCGTGCCGTTTGGAGTGAAGGGAAACTATGAAATTTCTTGGATGAAGCTACATAATTGGATTCCATGGGTGGCGATACAACCACAGTTGTGGTTGCTCAACAAGCTGCCTCGTGACGAGGTATGGTCCTGTCATTGCTATGTTAGTTTCAAGTTGCGTTGGGTTGGGCCATTGGAGCGGGATTAAAAACCGTAACCGCTGGATATCAAACTGGCAGTAGGATCGTAGTGGAGTGATGGGGGATTGACTTTCTGCTGTGCCTCATTTGCTTCGCGGCCGCTAATGTGGCACTTTTACCAGGTTACGAGTATTTGAGGACGTTTATGGCGGGCGGGATGGTGGGGAAACGTCGGCTTTGGGTATGAGTCGTGCCGCTGCATATCAACGGCTTACACTGTAACTTCATACGGCTCAGGGTGCAGTCCTTCGGTAAGCCGAAGCAGGTATACTGGTATACAGCTAGGTACTTGGTACTTCATGATCTTATTTTCGTTGCACATCGTAGCCTCACAAATTATTCCAGGGCAACAGCAACATGTTACGCCGTATTATTCCCTGCTCCTGCCTCATCATGCGGTTGGACTGTGAGTCAGTAGCGTAGATCCTCATCCTCCCGTGCAGCCTCGACCATAATTATGATTCGCTTCCAGAAGATTACCAGAGTGGACCGTAGGCGACTATCTCCTGACTCACTGTACCTGATTCTGGAAAAGGTGGTACGCATCGTCCTCTGCGTCTTGCAGAGGCAGCAAAGGCCCCACCGTCGAGTCGAATTTCGCGTACCACGTGGATGTGGAGAGCCACATCTTCTGTGTCGATGAAACTGATGTGGCGTCATTCACATAACCTCCCCACACACGCGAAGCATGTAATCGTCAGCGTTATGCGTCCGGTGATATTGACGCTCCAACTTCCTCCTAGGGAATTTGTTGATGCAACGGGATGTCGATGTGGCCGGCTTGGTTCGTGTTATCCCTCTCGAAGACTCCGATTTATGTGATGACGGACGACCTAATCTTCTAGTGATAACAAATCATTAGTGGACGTTGCTGACTCTTGACATCAACGAAACCTTGGGGCCTAGTAAGGAGGATCGCGACTCTAGTCGCCAGTAGCAATAGCGACATCCTTTGAACTGTACATAGGCGTAGTGACTCGTACAGCTTGCGTTACCATGCAATGTAGCACGCGAACCATATATCAAGTCAGCTCGTAAGATACGGTCGCGTATACGCAGCCTGGTCGTGCCTTCGGCGAACTGAAACTCGTGATTGGCTAGACTGCATAATTAACAGAGGGTTCTTATGGTTTTACCAGTCGTCTTATTGCGTTCCAGGGACCCGGTAAACCAGACCAATGTAGTAACCTGCATAAGTTTGTCGTAGCTGCAGGTAGCGACTTGGTGCTACGGCACGAAATAAGAAACCAAAAGGGGACATTCGGCCGACCATTATTCTGACATTTTTTCCAGTATAACGCGCGAAATATACTCAGAACCGCGCGAACCGAACGCGAGTGCGATCCAGCATCAGAAGCAGGCACTGTCCAGGTGCGTGCTCGAGAGTTTCTGAAGCTACGAAACTGAGACAGTTCGGAGAGGTCGCCGATATTGGGCCGAAGCGCTGAGATTGCCTGGATTTCGAGGATACTTTCTCGGAAGGGGGTCGGAAGGGGGCGAAGTGAACGTAGGATCACTGCGGTGAATATTCCGCGTTTTGTTTATGTTCCACGTAAGTGGCGGTTGATTTGGTTGCCGATTGCGTGTTTCGGAGTTGTGGCCGTCGGGTGAGATCTGGTGTGTCACCCACGATTTGGTTTGGCTAATGCAACCATAATATCGTGCAAACTTTGATTAGAAACTGAACCCTTTTTTTTTCCTTAAAAAAAACCGCGAAGTCCTTTAGGGCTATCGTATTGTTGTAAATGCTGTCGGGAGTGGGATGAATCTCCGCCATCGTGACTAGTAGCCTGTGCCGGACATTGATGACTATAATCTCGGTTAAGTACCAAAAGTCGGCGAAGCAGTATTGGGAAGAGTGGTGAAAAACGATTTTTGAAATTGACAGTGATGATACATTCGCCTATCCAACAAAGTACGAAAAGGAGTCAAATGGGTATTGTGCAGCTGTCCGCCGTGTACGCCGTGCTATATTGCAACCGTGACTATAGGGAATGATAACGAGAGCATGGTTCGTGTTATCGTCTGCAGTCGCCTTGGATGTGTTAAAATGGATCTCGTGATACATGTTGGGTCGTGGAGTTACGAACCGCAGTTCTCATTAAGTCTGTATTCTCTGGGCCAAAAGTCAGTATGGGAATACGATGGATTAGAATGAGCACTTACACTGCCGTCACATTTGCTGGACACCTTACATGCGTTTGTTGGTACTTGGTACACCAGGCTTTGACGACATAGCGGACGTGAGCGCACTTGTATTGCACTTGTGTGTAGTCGCACATGATGACCGAAAAGGAAAGCTGTGAAGTGTTGTGGTCGAATGACGAGTAAGAATTCCAAGAGGATGTGCAAATGCAACAATGGATGGCAGGCAAATGATTCTGTTGGTGGGTTGGTGAAATCTCCGGATTAGCATGCAGCTGCGCGACGGTCCGTTATGTTATAGTGAGCCAGACGGAGCAACAGACAGACGTCAGTGCGATCAGGTACCCGTAGGAGCTACGCAAAGCTAGCCCATGTCGATAGAACCTGGTTCGTCAGTTGACATGCATCATGGTAGTGGCCGTGAATGTTCAACGTACCCGGGAGCCCGAGAGCGGTCGAGCCTTTTACACACCATAGACCTGGGTGGGGACCTTCATGTTTGAAGTGCTCTCGCTTCCAAGGACCTTGAGGGACAAAGGTAGCAGCCCAACCCGGGTGCCGAGAGGGACTACAGGGTCTTCTGGCCGTATTTGAAGAGGAATGAATGCAAGCGTGAAGAACCTCGGTCTTGCTCTCAGGGTAGAATAGCCAGCGGGCTGCCAACGGCAGTCTCTGAGTGGTCGAAGCACTATAGCATTTAGAACTGCGCCAATCCGCCTTGTCCGTTAGTGTGCACTAAGTTCAAAGTTATCAGACGTGCACAGATCAAGTTTGATCTGCGACTACGGTTCCACGTTAAGGTGGCCCGTGGGGTGTGCAGCCGTTGGAAAATCCTTGACCGTGGCAGACACTAAGCTTCGGAGGCCAGGGGCCACCCTTCCTTCACATCCTGCAGGTCGCGAGAGAGATCAATTGTATACTAGGTGGCAATTAATGGCATCGTTTACACACTGCTAGAGCGAGGTCTTTACTGCATCGAGGCGCCTGTTTCATCCTGGGCGTGCCTTTCTCGGCAACACTTCACCGGAGCTTCCACCGATGTGTGTCCTTTATGCTTACTATCCCGCTTCCCCGGCCCCAGTCCATATCGCGAGAGCATCCGGAGGTCAAGTGTTGCGCAATCATCATATGCCGTCCCGTGTACGGTGAGCGCGGCTGCGCGACATGATCCCACCTTTAGTGGCTGCTGGTGGGGTCCTAGTCGCCGGCCTCACTTTCTGATTTCGTGAGCATAACGTTCGAGGTACATTGTCGGCAGGGCAGATTCGGGGTTGCGTTTGAGTTTCGGAGCGTCTGATGAACCCAATGCTGGTGTTATCGGGTTCCGTTTCGTCCGCATGACGCCATGTGATTGAGGTTTCTACCTGCCGCAACACTGACTCTCAAGTTCGCAACTCTTTCCACACATGCTACTCTACACCGACACCTGCTATATGTGAACGGCACAGCTCTAGCACCTCGTACGTTACCTAGGTAGGCTTCCCGCATTGACGGCCCATGTCCAGGTCGCTGTGCCATGACTGCATTGAAGAACAGCGACCAATGCCATCGCACGGGATTTCTGAGAAACGTGTGCATATGCATACACATCGACCAGGAATCTGGTAGTCTCCACCCGCGGTAAGACTGTCTAGACCGTGCTGCCCGGGCGATGGAACACTAAGTGGCTGCAAAGTGCATGTCGGCTCGAACAACGCACGGTAAGCTACAACCATAAGGGACGTGGATGCTGTTCGGTAA